GGGGCCCTCTCGCACGTCTTACCGACTGTGGGTCGCTTGCTGCAGAACTCCCCACCAGAGTTGCTTACACGCATTCTTAATGTCCTGTCGGATGTCCTGCGCCTTCCCCGCTCGATGCCCGTTGACAGGGCCACACCTCTGGCGCAAATGACCTGGCTCTGGCTAAGCCGAATTTCGAATTCTCCGGCACCGGAAGCCTTCAAAACGGATGCGCTCAAAATTTTTGCTAGGATTTGGACACTTGCTAGAACACCCTTCTACGATCTTAGACAGTCCGCACTCCTTCTTCTCGAGGCCATAATGACGGAAGTGAGTTCACGACCGTGTTGAAGTTTCTGTACTTTCTTCTGCTTCTTTTCGCATGTTCTAACTGCCATTTTCGTATCTTGTTTAGCCCTGGGGAATCACTCTTCTTATGGATCAACCCGGTTTCATCGAATACCTGCTCAACCGAAGTACGGAGAACAGTTTGGCTACAGAGGGCGCCAGCCTACTACCAGTGAAATTTGCCATCATTAATCAGGCATGCAAGACGCAGGAGAAGTGGTGTGGGACGTGCCCACAATGGAGAGAAGTAGATGAGGAGACGCTCGCGCGACTGAGGGACTACGTTAGATGCGGGCCATGGGGTTCTGTGAGAGCTGAAGCGGCTGTGGCTATGGAGCAAGGCTAGATGTTTGCATGTTTTCTACTACCAAATAATACCCTTTCATACCTCGTTTTGCGCTTTTAATGAAGTTTGGATGATCGGCGATTCTCGGCTTACAGGAGAGGAAGGCTAGAATTGATGTAGTAGTCTGTGTCGCCTTACCGCCCATGATGGCGGCAAACCACTTAGTGTATGTGCATTGCTTCTCTCTCCCCGATAACCTAAAATAACAATAAATATTTCACCTTGCACTAAATTGGCAGGAGAAGATCGCTCAGTCGAAATTTAGTTATCTGCACCTATATTTCCCCTATTTGGGACCGACTGAGCATCCTAGTGAACGCATATCTCTCAAAGTATGACGAGCATACTACACAATGTGCGTTCAAAGTAGATAAGCATGACCGTAATTTTTCAATGTACTTTAAAATGAACCAGTTAACTTAGGAACTGAGAAGAAGACGACTCGATCGCCGGGACAATACGTTTATTCGCCGAACGTTTCGACATCCGTCGCAGATTCATCATCACAGAACAGCAGCAGACACAGGTAGTTGGTGCACAGGAGTCTGCCGTAAAATTTGAACGTGCAGAAAAAAATCGATAAATGTTTGGCGTTTGCGCGGATTCGTTACGTCAACAATGACCATCTGGCCCTCGGTGTTGGAATAGGATGATTTGGTGGCCTCTCTGTTCCCCCAGCGGTGACTTGCTTTGGCCAAATTTAGTCTCAGCACCGAATATGGGTTGGGCAAATCGTTGCACTTGCTAATGGATTGGGGGCCCGTGAACCATGATTTAAATAGTTCGGCCTCATCAAATTTGAATGCGTGGTCGGGTCTCGGCGAATGAACCGCAACTGTATACATGGTTAACGGTAGCGGCTGGGCGAGACACACGCGGTCGAAACACACCAACCTTGTCGCAACAGGACGGCCAACCGATCTGGTCACTCGCTGCCCTCAGTGAAACTCGTTTCGCTGAACCATTAAGTTGGTTGGTTGGCAGCCCTCGTTGGATAAGGGTTTCCCGCCGGAGTCCAAACTGGGTGCAGTTGGAAGACGGAGAAAAGCCGCGACATCAGTCGGCTTGGGCCAAAGGTCTACGGGGATGAACCACTAAGTAGAAGGCTACAGTTCAGAACCATTCCATATCTCGATTCAGCTAGGTTGGCCGTTGCTCTCGCTTCCGCCTGGACCATGAAAACAAGTGAAGGCGTTAAGTGATACTAACAATTCTGAAGGATCAGTTTATCTTAAACTTCAAGGCCATGAAGCGGTGTGCTTGAAAAATTAGTCTTATCTTAGCAGTCAGGTACATGCGCACAACAACAGTTCATACGAGGTTCGCTGGCCGGACGTCCTCCAAACGCGGATGTGAGGAATAGCTCCTTCTCTCTAACAGCCGATATATTCGCATTTGGCCGGCGTTCTTCCATATATTTCCGGATAAACTTACCGATGGACTGAGAAGAAGAAGACTCGATCCCAGCGATCGAGTCTTCTTCTCAATTGCTTCCTGGGACAC